GGGGAACGGCCGACTTGTTGAAAAAAAATAAAAAAAAAAAAAAAAGGTGTCCATCATGCATCAGGCCTGTAGCATCAGCAGACTGTTAACCAGGCACTTATTCTGGAACTCTGACCTCAGGCCAGGTTGCAAAAGTAGAAAAACCCTCAAAACCAGTCACAGACATATTTGTTCATCTGGATACTATCTGTAAATGAAAAAACCTTCATTGTTAATTTTGCTTTGTGTTTGTGGAGATAACATAATTTAAAAATAAATGGCTATTATTTGATAATGAAAAATAATTATTCTCCATGCGTGTCATAAGAGGTGAATAAAATGCTGGGAGCAAGGGGCTAGTAACCCCTTCTCCTGTGTACATTACTAAACTTAAAATAAGAAACTTTTGTTTTTCTTTTTGGGCCACCCTGCCTCAGTGGGATACAGCTGGTACATTGAAAGAAGAAAGAAGAAATAATTATTCTTTGAGAGTATTCTAGTTTGGTGAGCTTCAGATATGTAACAATTGAAACATATGAAAACACTGATGCACTTGTCAGTCTGTACTTTGAGCATGTGTTCAATTTTGGTCCCTAAATTACATGAAAGACTAAAGATAAACTGGAGAGAGTGCAGAAAAGGGCAGTAACTTTTATTTTCATTAAGAGGTAAAAACCCCTTAAGAAAGACTCAAGCATAAGACCTAACCTGGTCTTCATGCCTGATCAACCTTAGTGCCACAGTGAGGCACTTCTCTTGGTATAGATATTCAAAGCACCTTGTCATATGAACAGATGGGAGACACCTCTGAAGGTAAGATCAGTCTCTGGTCTTTGTCATTTGTGTTCTTGTACAGTCAGTTTACTCTAGGTCATTACTCTAGTGTATTTGTTTGCTGTCACTTGTTTGTTGTTGCCTTCAGTGTGTTTTCAATTAGATTTCATGATTATATTCAGCTTTAGATTTCTCAAACACTGTTACTGTTACAGTAACTGTATTTAAATGGGTTACAAACTGAAACGGCATTCTGTGTTCAACAGGTAATGGAGAGAAATGTGGCTGGGAGCGTTTGGTATGGGGCTGCCAAGATATCCTACGGATGCATCTCAATCATTTGCTGGCATTAGTAACATCGCCCAGAACTCACATTCACACACGCATTCGTGCTGCTCAAGCTTTAGCCTCCCACCATAAAGTGCAAGCAATTATTTCTTACACTTCGAAAGCAAACCCTCAGGTGAATCAGTTGGTAATACAGTGTTTGTTAATTTTGTTTACAAATCATAAATAGAACATTGCATGGTTGACCCCTGCTCAATGATGCAGGTAGATATTGGACAAAAGGTTCATTAAATGATGACTATGTTAAGCGAATCTTGTTTCCCCACAGACACCCATGTTGTAACATAAGAGGCAGACCAGGATAATAATAAAATGGTACCTCAATATTCAAACTTAATCCATTCTAGGAAGCTGTTCGAATATTGAATACTGAATCAATTTTTCCCATGAGAAATAATGTACATTGGATTAATCCATTCCAGACCCCAAAAAATTACCAATTATAAAACCTGTATAATAATATTTACATTCATGAAATTATTCATGGAAACTATAAAAACATAAATACATGAAAAAATGAAAATTTAACTGCACTTTACTGAGGAGTGCTGATGCCCTAAGAGGAAAGTGGAGAGATGTTATTGTTTGGAAAGGTTGTCACCTTCCATAGAAACATCAGGTAACTGCCCATCTGGTGTATTTTCTCTTTTTTTGTCTCTGTGCCGTAGCACTTGAAGATGATGGGGATTCACTAGCACTTTATTTTTTTTCTTTGGTAAAGAAGCTGTCCAATGTTGTCTACTTTTGACGACTTTTCAAAATATTTGTAAAGTAGTCAACAACATTGGCATTGAACAGATTGATGCTCCTATTCACAACATTAATGTTAGGATGCCATTTTTCCACCAGGCACTGTGTTTGAGCCCAATGGTAACACAGTTCCATAAGTTCTGCAGTGGAAATGTTGCCACTGCAACATTTCCACTGCCTATAATACCTGCCTTCACCACTCCTGTGATTTAGAAAGCACTCAGTATATCAACATTTTTTTCTCATTTCAGTTGTTATACAAAGTGGGAATCTTCGTACACGAGCTCCGCTACCAAAATGAGAACAAATTAGATGAATCCGCCATCAAAAGCTGCGAGACAGTCTTGCAGATACTAGAAGAAAGTTCCATTCAAGTTCTGCCACCCCCTGAGGTAAATATAACCTGTATATTAATCTCTTTCAGATTATGTAAAATTTCATAATTATTTAAGTAACCAATGAAATGGAAATGGGAAGTACAATGCCTACACTTTAAAGGAGGGGTTTGGGATATTGGCAGTTTGGAGGGATATGTTGTGTATCTTTATACGTATATGCTTCTAAACTGTTGTATTCTGAGCACCTCTGCAAAAACAGTGATTGTGTGTGAGTGTGGTGAAAGTGTTGAATGATGATAAAGGTAAGTATTTTGTTTTTGGGGATTTTCTTTCTTTTTGGGTCACCCTGCCTCAGTGGGAGATGGCCGACTTGTTTAAAAAAAAAAAAAAGAATTATATTAAAATATTGTTTAGCTTTTTGTTGGGTAGTTAGTCATTAATCCTTGTGTGTCTTTGCTTAAACAAAATTCATATTTCAAGAAATTAGCAATGCTCAATGGATTGTTCTTTTTTGTCAGATATTACTCAGTCGTTTTTAGAATTGTTTGACAACATTCTGACTGAAACTGAAATATTGCAAGTGATGGCTCTTTCGCATCAGTAAATCTTTAATTTTCAGTTATACCCTCCCCATGGGGCCATGAAGGAATGGAGTGTTGTCAGTGAGGAAAAGAAGCAGTGGCAAGAGGAATCCTCAAAGATTGCTATCCTTGTTGTAGACCGCTGCAATAAACAGGATAAAAGGTTTGCAGTTTTAACTTTTTTTTTTAAATTTGCATATTTAGTAATGCTTTGTAGAGAATGAACTAACATTGCAATTCAGAGTTGATTTTTTTTTTTCACTTCCTTACTACTAAGTTTTTGTTGTACCTTATTAATTGAAAGTTCTCAGATA